TTTTGTGTTAGCCAAAGCTGTTATTATTCCACAAGCACTCTGCCCTCTGCCCCCGCCTGTAGCACAGAGCCTGAGAGCTCTGGGGAAGGGAATGGGTTTTTTAATTTATTTTAAATTTATTTTTACTCTTTATTTGGGTTGCAGCCATCTCTCTGTAGGTGCAAGCTCCAGCACACTGGCAGAGGCTTCTCCATTCAGTGTGTTGAACACTTGGTGCTCTTAATATGCAATATTTCCAGTGCCACCCATTGACAAGCTGTGCTTTATTAATGAATTAATCATGCTCTTGCACTGGAGATAAGGTGCCAGAAATCTGAGTGCCTCTTCCACCTCCAAGTGCATTCATATGAAACTCAGTGCCTGGAAATAAATCTAAATTAGAGTTTTACTCTTGAAAGTAAAAAAAAAAAAAAAAAAATTAAAAATTCCATTTGTGGTTTTGGGTTTTTTCCCCCCTAAATTGTATTGATCTTTAAAACTCAATGAGTAAATGGACTCCTGTTCATTACATGTGATCATCCAATAATGTTTGAAATGCCATAACATTTGAACTCACACCAATATATTTGAAGTCACCATTGAAAAAGTTATTTATCTGTATAGGCAGCAAGAGTGCTCCCCAGGGCCAGTGCCTGCTGCCCAGAGCACAGCTGCCTGAGAGGCTGTACAGGAGGGAAGCTGTTTTATAGCCCAGGAGGGCTTGCAACCTGTGTCTGGAATGCTGGAGACAGAGCACCATGGAAATGATGCACCAGAGCTGGTGACAGCACTCCAGAGGCTTGGCTGTTGTCACCTTTTTCACAAGGATCATTGAAACAGGAAATTATAAGGAGAAGACTAATAAGATCAATTTCTGTATTTCAATTTTGTTGTTATATTTATGCAGCCCTACCTGCCATAGGTAGCTCAGGCAGTGAACCTCACTAAGTAATGTTTGCCTTTGGACAGGACCAAGCTACTCAAACCAGAGCATCCTTGCCAGATACTCAGGTGGGGAAGAAAGACCCCAAGGTGATTTCTCCTCATCTGGGAATGATTCCAGCATTCCATGGCCATCAGGGTTATCAGCCCCTGCCTTGTTTCCCATTTTGCTTTTGCTTAGCTTTAGCTTTCTGCCTTTTAATGCCCTTTTCTGCAAGATTTAATCTAGGAGAAGGCTCTTCCCCATGTAGCAACTTGTAGGCTATGACAAGGTTGTGGAAAAACTTCCCTTGGAAAAAGTAAGTAGATGGAGTTTCATTAGTCATTCACTACAAAGGATGTTTTCCAGACCTGAAATCATTCTTGTAGCTCTTTGCTGAACACTTTCCAATTTTCCAACATCCCTTCTAAAATGTAGACACGAGGCCTGGAATCAGTGCTGTAGTTAAGAGCTAAAGCTGAATACCAGGGCATTCATTTATAACACATCACCTTGTTCTCACATCTACAACTCTCACAGCCACGTGGGTACTCATAACCTTTTGGAGAAGGGAAAAAAAAACCAGCAAAAAAAATTTATTTTAATTTCATCAGTTTGAAAAATACAATTTAGTTTTCAGATGTATATGTTTAGACAAATCCCTTGCTATTTAAGCCATAATAATATTCTTAAGTCCTTAAGACAAAGTTGTTTTAGTACTAAAAGAGGCTTTGGTGAAGCCTTCATTTAAAAGCATTTGCTTGCCAACTCATATGATTTTTTAATGCTGGTGTTAGACTGTTTTGAAGAGTCTTCAGCTCTCAGCAATCTCAGCAATTAGATGAATATGAAAACTGTTTACAAAGAGAATTCTTTCCTTCCTTGAAAACACCTTTACTGTGTGCTAGACTCAAAAAAAAAAAATTAAAATCCAGGAGCAAACAAGTAAATAAAGGTAATTCTCATCTGTATGATCATCATCATGGGACTTTTGCAACCATGTTGTGATTGCATAAGGGTAAATCATGACAACTGAGTGATGGTTTCAAGTGTTTCCTCACTGCAACATCAGGCCCCAGCCTGGATGTGTTGTGTACACAGAACTCCCAGTGATCTCAGCAAGGGCTGCAAGAGCTGTGGGAGTGAACAACAGGGTGACAGATGGCCACATGTGCTACTTCTCCAGGTTAAATGTCAGCATGCAAATAGAACAATCCGGTACTTTTTTTCAGCAGGCTTCAAAATCAGAAGGCAGCAGATAAAATGTTATCCTTTTTTAACTCTAAACATTTGCTGCTGCAGCTCGAAATGCAAGGTCTGTGCAGTGGATTTTTGACAACTGTGAGGGGTGGTTTAGTTAGGACTTCTCAAATATTTTGCTCATATCTGAAAAGAAAGAAAATGCTTTGCTGGTAAAACTGCAATTGTGGTAGCAGCAGGAATAATTGCATTCTAAGAGATTGCTTCTATTATTATTATTATTGTTATTATTGATATTATTGTTATTATTATTATTATTATTATTATTATTATTATTATTATTATTATTATTATTGTTAAAAATGCCAATCACTTGTTTTTAAAATTTTTAAAAGTTTATAGTAATAAAATGGTTATAAAAATAGTAATACAATTACAGTAATAATAATTTGAACAATTTGCATTAGGACAATATGAGACAATAGAAACAAAGAGTTACAGACAGTCCAGGTATCTTTTTCTGGGCAGCACAAGCCCAAAAAAGGCCCCACGTTAACAGAGGATTAACCCTTAAAAGCAACAGCCTGTTGTATATTCATACACCTCATCCATGATGCATAAATTCCATTCAAACACAGGATTCTCTCTGGGCAGTGTCAGCTTCTTCCTCTGAATCTTGACAGTGCCTTTGAGGTGGGAAGAAGTTCGTGTCTTCTGATAATGGAGCAATAAATTCTCTTTCTCTGAAAGATTCAGGTGTCCTGTGGCTGCTATCTCAGTGAGAATCCTTTCTTTTAAAAAAAGTATCCTACATAGCATAGATTCTATTTTAACAATATGTTATAACCTAAAACTATATTTACCACAGTACTTAAGAGAATTATTACAGCATCACTTTCTAACACAACACATATAATGTTCATTTTAATATTTGCAAAAAGCCAATCATAAAATGCATGCATTTTTCACAATTATCATTATCATTAATGGCAGCAGTGCCACTGTTTCAGGAGCAATCCCTCTCCTTCAGGAATCCCGGTGGAGCAGCGGTGGCGCGGCCGGTGGCTGCTGCCCCTCTCCATGTTGAGATGTTTGCCATGCTCTGATTGCAGGCCAGCTGTGATGACAAATTGCTTATTTGCTGTGATAAATGTGACCAGTTCCTCACAGCTCCCCGTGGCAGCCCTGCTTTAGGTACACATTTAACATTACCTGCTGGCCTGGCACAAGGAACAAGGTGGAACAGAGATAGGATTTCTTCCCCTTGTACAAAATACCTGACTGTGGGGCTGCTTCTGTCACTGTGTGCAAGCCTCAGGAGGCTGCTCCACTGGTAATTTACAAAGCCAGCCCCAAGTAATCCTAGACCTGTGTCTTGTGTGTGCCACAGACTAGCTCAGTGTGAGCTGTTATCAAATATTGCCTCACGAGGCCGCACCACAAATAAGGATTGCAGACACTAAGGGGGATGAATGAGTTGTTGCCAAGTTAAAAATTAAGTAGCAGTTACAAATGACCTGAACTGTGGAGAGTGCTCCACACCAGAATCGTAGAATGGTTTGGTCATTCATTTGGTCACTTAGAGATCACCTAAATCCAACACCTTCCACTAGACCTGGTTACTCAAAGTCCCATTCACTCTGGCCTTGAACACTTCCAGGGATGGGGCACAGGTAAGCATAGCTGTAAATAAGGTTTTTTAAAAAGTCTGAGGGTAAACATGAAGGTACCTGTCAAGTATTATGTATTCCATTTCTATATTAGGAATAGAACCAAGCAGAGCTGGACTTGCAAGTGAAGCAGCTGCAGAAGTGCATTTCCCTGCTAAAATGCTCACCTTGGCCTAACTTTCAAGTTCAGGTGATTCTTTGCTGCCATGCTGCAGTAGCTGATCATCTATTTCCACATAAAAGGAAAACTCTGCTCACTCTCTCCCTGGGCATCAAAGATGTCAGTAGAGCTAAAGCCTGAATCAACAAATCCAGCTGTGCATATCCCTAGGGTCTGCTTGTACCCATATCCCATATCAGTGTGCTTTTAAGTGGAGGGCTCTGATGTGAGCAGGAATGGGTCTGTGATGTCAAATAGCAGAGTGGCAGAACAGCTCCAGCACTGCTGTGGGCCCAGGAGGCTGCATTCAGCAGGTGACCTGTGTGCTTGCTTGTAGCCAAATTAATCCTGCTGTGCACAGGGCTTGGATAATGAATAATTGAAGGTAGAGATGCTCCTCACTTGATCCTGTGAGTCCTGGTGCTGCCTATCAAAGGCAGCTGGATGGTTTCTGAGGCTGCAGGGAAATGCTGGGAGCCAGCAGATCCTTGCAGCAGTGTTTGCTGGGCATGGCACATGGGAAACTGGGGCTTGTGTCAGCCTCTGCCTGGAGTCCTGTGCTCTGCTGAGCCGGTGCCATATGGCCTGGCAGAGCCTTATCAGAAACCCGTCCTGTGTTGCCCAGCTGTCTCCTCTGCCATCAGGGTTTCATTGCTTTAAGACAAGAGCAGGAGAAAGTGACCTGTGGCCTCTCTGGAGTGGGGTGGCTGAATTTGAATCTGAAGGCAGCTTCACTTCAGAGGGGCTGGCTCTGGAGCCAGGCTCCTCTCAGGTAATCATTCCTTTGCTCCAGGGATTTCATCAGCCATCTGCCAGACAAGAATGTTACCTGTAGCACACAGAAATACTGGGACATCTTTTGTTGTCTAAAATTTGAATAAATTGCTGATTTCCTAAGGTTTTTACTGCAACAGTTAGGCAGCTACTTCCCTGACAGACTTTTTTCACTGTCACTGTCATCACCATTAAGCTTCCCCCGTCATTTCTGAAAAGAATGGTGAGCTAGTGACAGCTTATGCTATTCACACTGTCAAATAAAAAAATCAAATTTTCACCTTTTTCCCCACAGGCTGACTTAAACTGCAACATCCAAGATGATACAGGAGCGTTTTACGGAGTCACCAGTCAGTACGAGAGCTCGGAAAACATGACAATCACCTGTTCCACCAAAGTCTGCTCCTTTGGAAAGCAAGTAGTAGAAAAAGTAGAGGTGGGTGTTGTGATGGGATATGTGCCTTTAGTCATTTCTTACCCTTCCCAGGCCCAGACCTGTGGGCTGTGGCCAGGTCTCTGCTTGGTTTGCTGCACAGTGATATTGCAGCTCAGGGCTAAGCCCCAGACCCATATCTGTCATGTACAAATCAGTTTTGGGGGGGGAATTTTAGCCTAGAGCTGAAGGCTGAGCTTTTACAGATGTCCTGATTCCTGTTTACGTCCTTCTTAAACTAAGTATGTTTTCTGACCATAACAAAAAAATGTTTTAATAATTTCTATTGTTCCAAGCTTAGAGAAAGCCAAAAATCCTCAGAAACCACCATCTGAGCAGTTGGTAGCTGGACAGCAGAAGTCCAAGAGTCACAGCCTTACCCTCCCTCAGCAATCTAAGTCTGTCTGCTTTTCTTCCAGCTGTAGTCCTGCATCTTTCTGTAGTTCATGAATTGCCTATTAAGTCATGCAATAATATATCTATGTTTGTATGTTGTCCTGGTTCAGGGCAAATTTGGGAGAGAACCCCCAAAGGGCTCCTCTAGGAAAGCAGATTCATTTGGCCCCTCGCCCAACCGGTCAGGGAGAAAATACCTCCTTGGAGAAAAGTGGAAAAAAACTGTTTAATAAACAATAAAACCTAAACAATATTAAACAATCAAACCCCTTGCTGCTCCAAAAGAGATGACAAACAAAAACTGTGCATGGAAACACGGGACATATGTGCACACTTCAGTGCAAATATATTAGCTTATTTTTGCTGTTCCCTTTGCAGACAGGTGCCTCAAAATTCCTATAAAATCATCTTATCACAGTTTTTGGCTTAATTAATTTCTACTCAGTTTGGGACTTTATAATCCTCATCAGTTGGTTAATTTGCAGGTTAGATAACAAGTAGTGATATTATAATCATATAATAAGATCCCTTGCATTTTTAGCAAGGCATAGCACAGGTAAGGCAGGGAGTCAGCAAGCAGTGTGTGAGTGTGTCTGAGCCACTTCTCTTTCTCCTGTCTACACAAAAAAACAAACAAACAAAAACAAAAACAAAAACAAAAACAAACCAAACAAAAAAAAAAGGAAAAACAGATTTACCAGTCACTTTTCCCCTGTCTCTGAATGATGACATTCTAAATGGTTTTTATGTTTTTTAGACTGAATATGCAAGGTTTGAGAATGGTCGGTTTGTGTACAGGATAAACCGCTCTCCCATGTGTGAATACATGATCAACTTCATACACAAGCTGAAGCATTTACCAGAGAAATACATGATGAACAGCGTCTTGGAAAACTTCACAATTTTATTGGTATGGACTGGCTTTTTTATTTTTCCACTTCTAAAATACTCTCAGGCTTTGTATGGCTTGCTCAGCTGGTAGTGTTGGGAACCAGTTTCCAAATCCCTAAGTCATTGTTGCTTACCAAAGCAACCATCCCACTGACTTCAGAATAATTCTCCTGGAATTGGGCACTAAAGACGCTCAGGATGAAAAGGCTCAGCTGGCTGTGAGTGTGAACAAACATCTTTGTTATTCTCCACAAATTTCAGCTTACTTCTGTTTTTTCCATTCGAGTCTGGGGTTTGCAGAGAGCCTGAGGCAGTAACTTTGAACCACTGCGTTTATCTGATGTGTCCTTACCTTAGCGGGGCTGGGTTACAGTGCTGCAGGTGTTAGTGGCATTAATTAGTTCTTGGGCAGGGAAAACCGGCAGCAAACGCCCAACAGGTGACCTAAAGCACAGAGAATGGGCCACGTGGTGGCCTTTGAGCCAGTTTCATCCAGTCACCCAGCTTGCTTTCCCTGTTGCTCTGTGGTGTCAGCCCAGCCAAGCTCTCAGAGCCACGTGCCGCTACCGCCAGGGGATTCAGCAGCACCGAGGTGACACGGGTCACTCCTCGCTTCAGACCCGTGGCACTCACATTTTCTTAAAACATCCCTTCACCCAGGATTTTTCTCCTGGGAAGCTGAGGAGCCTCAGAGAAAATGAAAACAATTTTTATCTCATTTGCTTCTCCTGTTTTTCCTCATGTGGAATGTGTTTGGAGATTGTTTACCCACAGGTGATTGTTCCATTCTGCTGTGAGTTGTTTTGACTCTTTGGCCAATCAGGGCCAAGCTGTGTCAGGGCTCTGGAGAGAGTCACGAGTTTTCATTATTAGGTTTTTAGCATTTAGTAAGTATCATTTCTGTATTCTTTAGTATAGTGTAGTATAGTGTAGTATAGTACAGTATTCTTTAATATAATATAGTACCATAAAATAATAAATTACCCTTTTGAGAACATGGAGTCAGATGCATCACTCCTCCCTGCCACGGGGCACCCTGCAAATACAGTACAGCCCTGCTGCTTCCAGGTGTGTGATGTTCTGTCTGCCTCTTCTTTCCCCACACAGGTGGTAACAAACAGGGATACACAAGAAACCCTGCTCTGCATGGCTTGTGTATTCGAAGTGTCGAACAGCGAACATGGAGCACAGCATCACATCTACAGGCTTGTAAAGGACTGAGCAGTTATTTATATATACACTTCATTTCACTTCTTTATCAAAACACAGACTGTAAACCTCAACACTAAGTGGCAGTGCCTCTGGCCCAACTTTCACCCACATTTTTCTAAATCCTGTTTTAGTGAAGTCATTTTTAATGTGTTCATATATAATTGTAGCTGTGAAATTCTGGTACAGTTGTAAAAATTATTTCTAAAACTAAGTGTTCTTCAAATTTGTACACCACAGTTCTTTGGGAAGACTGTATTTAAGAACCTAATGCCTCTGTCTGTGGAGGCCTATTTTTAATTCTGATAGAAAAATGTATGACAGAGCATTTGCCATGGGGAAAAACTGACAGCATTTATAAGAATTTATTTTGGGTTTTTTTCCAACATGAAATACTTGTTTTACAATGCAAGTGAAATTGAAACGAATCTTTAGCTATAACTGTAAATGAGTACACAAAGTTAATAATCTTTATAGAATTATCTTTGTAACTAATTAGGGTGAAAGATATGGACGAATGTAATTCACTAAATTATTTTTTAAAATGAAACATTTTTCTGTTTGAAACCAAATGAAAAATATAGCCTTAAGAAATGCCTGATAGAAACAGACAGGTCCTAAAATTAGGCAAATTTTGTATTTTTTTCTCAACGCTAAAACTAATCTTCTAATCCATTAAACTTTCAAACAGGTATTGCAGAGAAAGAAAACATCACCCCTTACCCTTAACATATCTAGTGTATTTTAAAAGAGTATAAAGTTGTATTGTACTAATATGAAAATTTGATTATTTAATGAAAAAGATGGCTCATTTTGCAATAAGTAGGTAAATACTGAAGATTTAGACTTGCATTATATGTAGTCTTGTGTGTGCGGTTATATTTTATATGGACAACTATGTTTTCTAATAAGTTGAGCAAAAAACTTGCAACTCTGAAATCAAGAGATGAATGGAAACAACTGACATTGCAACAGCATCGAGTCATTCAAAACAGAGAGCAAAACACTGATGTGTTTGAGAGAAGAGTGTGTACATCTCTGAAAGGATCAGCAGCTTTAATATCTGTGAGACGCTAGAGAATCACAAGCAGCATCAGGCAAAGCAGATTGGAAAGTGGAGAATTTAATTTTTTTTTCTCCTTTTTCCTCTTAATCATGGTGCTCTTACACCTCTCCCAGTTGTCTCTCCAGGTCTGGCAAAGGCCTTATCTGAAACAAACACACACCTACAACGTGGGGCCTGCTGTCCTCTTGGAAAGCGTTCATCCAGGTGGTAGTGTTCATCCTTCTGACAAATTCAGGGAAGACTCCAGGAAGTGAGGCACAGCTGGAGATATTGAACACTGAAAGGCTTTGCACCACGGCTGTGAGCGTTTGTCTGGGGTGTGCACAGGTGAGAGCAGCAGCCTCAGCCCTCCTGCTCGGGACAGGGGGTGTTGCTCAGCTCCTCTCCTCCTGCTGCCCCTCACTGCCCAAGCACAAATTGTTTGGGCAGGTGCTGGGCCAGCAGAGGCCTCTCAGGCAGAACATTTGTCTGAAAGGCTGAGGGCTGCCTGGCCAGGCACAAGCCACCTTAGGGATCAGAGATGAGTTATCAGCAAAGAGGGCTCTTAGGGGAGTTTCCTGCAGTCCTGACTCAAAGGTCAGGCTTAGCAGGCCCCTCCTCCCTACCCCTTGTGATTTGTTCCTGTAACCAGCACAGTTCCCATGCACAGTGTAAGCATCAAATTCACTCCCAGCCCAGTGCTGTAGTCTTCAAACAAGCAACTCAATTCCTTTTCTTTAAATTATATATTCCTGCATAGTCCTTTCAGTTAGAATTGCCCACTGCTGGAATGTGTGGACTAGACTGGAGCCTAGGTGAGGTCAGACCAGGAACCATCCCTAACGCTGGGGAGGTCTGGGGCTCGAGGAGGATGCAAGCATCACCCAGGGCAAGGGAGACTGCTTCAATCCCTCAGCCTGATCTGACTGCACGAGGTGCATGCTTTGGGTGGTTGCTGTGATGCCTAGCTGTCACCTGCTTGTGGATATTAGGGCTGATGATCTTTCAGTTGATACTCTGTGAAGTGAACAGAGGAACATGTCCATGGCAAGGTCTCTTTTAACGCTCATTTTTAACACTAACAATCACATCAGGAAAAGCACTGCATTGTAACAGCCTAACGGTAGCCCTTTATTCTAAGCACTTGGTGTTACAAGTCAAAAACTACTTTTTGGTTTTTGTTCTAAAGTTGTCTTTTATTTAGGGTTTGAATTGTGGGTTTGGTGATTTTTATTTTTTTTTTTAATAACAAGCAAACTCTTTAAGGCATATAAAGTATGTAAGTCAATTTGCAAATCCAGGTACAGTTTGATTTTTTTTGTAGGATCTGGCACACTACATATGCCATAACTATAGGGTATAAACAGTCACAATGTTTATTGGTGTTCACATATGTAATGTTAGGGAAACTACTTCCATCGTCTTTTCTTTACAATTCTGTAAATGATCCATACCCTGTATATGTTAATTCTTAAAAGCCTTAATCCTTCAACTGTTGAGTGTGGGGTGTGTAGTCCAACAGGCTGCCTGTAAACTGTGAGCTCTTTTGTAAGCTGGAAGTACTTATCTTGTTACTGTTACTTTTTTGTAGGAACCTTTTAATTGAGAGCTGCCAAAGCATTACAATATGCAGTGCCTTAGCATTATATTAGAAGTAACTTTTAGCCTCTTAACATTAAATTTTATACATTGTTTTCTTAATTGGTTCCATTTTTAAAATATCCGTATTTTTCCCTGCAGAAATGCTCTTTGACTGCTTGGTGTGAACCAGCTGTCTGTACAAGTCAGTCCCATTGCAGTGAGATGCCTATACCAAAAGGAAAGGTTACAGATCCCTAGTTCTCCGTGAAAAGTGAATTGTATTAATGAATGCTGCCTTTTTAAATTTCATGACCAAATAATTAATTGTGACTCTTCTGCACTCTAGCATGAAAGTGCCTTTGGTTTGAAATTCCAGCTTAGAAAAGTGCTGCCATAATAATGACAATTTGTAGAGAGACCAAAAATATTTAGTTAATCACCGTAATGCCTTTGGTTTATTGGAATAAGTTGAATCTACAGGCCTCCATTCACAAAAGAGCACCATTCATAGCAAAGGGATTTTGCTAATGATCAGCCTGCTGAAGAAAAATCTACTGTTTGCCATTTCTGACAGCATTGCAAACCAGCAACTGATTCGTCTGTGATATAAAAATGAAAATATTCCCATTTATATTCTCTTCATCCAGTCACGCATCTGCATAATGAGAGATCCATATCCTACAGAATTTCAGTGGACAAGCATGGCTTCGTTGATCTCCTCTAACAATATTTTGGTATCTGTGGAGATTCTTTGCTTAGACAGCAGATTTTGTTTACAAAGTTGTGCATGCTGAAGGTCAGATGCACAGAACAGAGGAGCAGGAGAGCTGAGCATAGCGAGGGTGAATGCAATCGTGTGGCTTTAAGCATTGAAATGTTGAGGGTGAGCATTGTGCATGAAGGTGCTGCTGGGGAAACTCTGGCCAGCACGACTCAAAACACAGGGTTGTTTTGTTTTCCTCCCACTTGATGTCTTGGGGGAAAAAAAAATTAGCTCCTCTTAATGTGTCTGTTTTTGATACCTTCTGTGAACGGGGGCCATACTCTCCACCACAACTGAAATCAATGGGAAGAGGAGCAACATTTTAGAAAGAACAAATATCAGCAAAACCAAAAGCTGTCAGAGGGATTATATAGTTGTGAATACATTGTTAACTTGATTTTTAAAGTATTTGATGAAAACTAAGATTAACTTTTTATATAGAGAAATATTGTGACACTGTGTGGTAAATATTGTGATAATTCAAATTCCCTTTCTCTAAAATATTATTTTTGTTATTCCTTCAAGGTCTGAATCTCACTTACCTCTATAAGACAAATAAATCTGTTGAACTCAATGAGACTGAGGTAGGGCAAAGACACTTTTGGCCCACAAGCAGAACATACCTTTTCAGTCGTTGCCAAACATTTTGGCTGTACCAGTCAGTGTTTGTGACAAGCTACACCTCTGTCTCATTCAAACAAGCATAATGGTACCATTAGGGGCTGTTAAAAATTACTACTAACAAATGTAGTTTTACTTACTTGAATTCCAAACTGATTTTGTTTAGGTACTGCACCACTATTTTGAAGGAATTGCAGATCCAATGCCTGTTTCTCTCTTTCCCTCTCCACCACAGCTACAGCTCAGCTTGGCAGTGGCTTGTCCCGTGGAGCCCCCACGGGACGGGCTCCTGGGAATAATGAAGGGTGTACATTACTGTTGAATGTAAGGAACTGGCCAGTCCAAGGCAGATAGGACATTTGATGTGCTAATCCATAGCTATTTATTTTTCCACTGCGAGTCCCAGGGCGTGCCTGCAGCCTGAAGCAGCAGCCCTGGGAGTTTCCTGGAGGCCTCAGTCAGTCCCACTGAGAGCCCTGGTGTTGTCCCCCCTTTCCTTTCCCCATGAGGATACATGTGCCCGGGCACAGGTGGGTGTGGAGCAGGGCCCGGCTTTGTCCTTTGCTCAGGATGATCTCCTTCCCCCCTCTTATCTTTCATAACCAGATGTTTAGCCCCCCCAAGAAAGATTGAGGCTGGATAAGTCAAAGTACAAGAAACACTCTGGACATCTTCATCTTTTAACTTTTCAGGTCATTCTTGCTGAGGTCATGTAATTAGTTTTAGTGTGTAAATTAAATCTTAAATGCACTCAGTTGACTAAAAGGAGATGGATCCCTGTTACCTCCTTACAGAATATGTGTTTTTGTTTTTGTTTTGTTTTGTTTTATGGGCCTCTGATTCAGGCTCATGACTGCAGACAAAAAATACAATATGTGCCTGAAAAAAAAAAAGACAAAAGAATTTTATAACATTGAAAACCTGAATAGCCTTTAATTCTTCAGTACATTTTATGTAAAACAGGTTGGGTTTTTGTTTTGTTTTGGGGTTTTTTTGCCATGTGCATTTGTTCACATTTGTAAATGACTTAATGGAATTCTCACTTTATGTTTATTTGTGTAATGTGTATAAAATGGGTTTGTGACTTAAGCAT